AACAACAAAGTTTATGATAAATTATTAAATTGTTGAAAATTGAACCTTTCTTATAATCCTTCAGTAATAGCAAAATTATTTGATTATGAATTGCTAAAAATCGATGTTCTGATATGAAATTATATAGAATCTATTGGTAATCAATCCTTTATGATAATCCTTCAGTGGTAGAGAAATTGAAGATGAATTGTTGAAAATTAATGTTGAATTATCGAAATTCCTTATCGATGTCTGTAATAGAGAAACTGATGATGAATTTTAGAACATTGATGTTTAGTACAATATTTTAGTTATTCTGATTTTATATATCATATTATTCTAGTCATTTTTATTTGTGTAGTAAAATATTCTAGGAATTATTTTTTATATATTAGCTTTTAGTAGAATATTCTAGGCTTTCTGATTTAGTATATTAGAGTTAGTATCATGTCCATTCCCATTTTAATAATGCGTTGCTGAAAATCAACCCTTCTTGATAATCCTTTAGTAATAGCAAAATTATGTGATGATGAATTATTGGAAACCGATGTTGTGATATGAAATATAGAAAATAGATGTCTGTAATTGAGAAATTGATGATGAATTTTCTGAAAATTGATGTCTACATGGCTAATCGACGGAAGATGTAAATATCATACCTTGAAACCAATTATCTCTATAATTAGGTTAATTATTCTCAATATTCTAAGGATATAAATTTGTTTTAAATTATTTATTCCAAATATTCTAAGAAACTGTCAAATCCTTTGTTCTGTTGTCATTTAGCAGTCGTAGGCTGAATGTGAGTATCTAATTAAACTTGCTAAACCTCATATGGAGAACTCATTTTTAACTGATAATATCAAGATGTAATCTAACACTTATTATCACATTACAAGGTTCAAGTTACATATTGCTTATATTGGTTTGGAAATGAAAGTATGTTGCTATAATGAGTAAGAAGTAAAGTACATTGTTTATAGTAGTAGAACGATTAAAGTATGTTGCCATTTTCTGTAATTCTAGATATTCTGATATGACATGCTTATGGTTCATAATTGATATTCTACTATTCTGATATGATATATCATATGTTACTTCATAACTTATTATTCAACCGAATATTATGATTTCATTTAATAAGTTATACTTATAATTCTAGTGCCTTATTGTTTTTCAGGAACATGAAGAAATGTTTGAAAAGGTCTTCAAGAAAGTTTTTGTAGAAAAAGAGAATATGGAAGAAATTGTTTCTAATTGTATATCGATGTTTCCAAATGAAAATAGAACACGGAATTGGCAAAGAAGTTCAATAACTTGTTTTCGAGTACTATTTTTTTGAAGTACCAATGAGCCAGAAAATGAAAAAGCGCAAGTTGGAGTTGAAGAAACTCAAAAACAATGAATAGCAGAAAGGGTTGAAACCGAAGATGGTGAAATGGAGGAGAATGATCAAAGTTCTTAAAATCAACATTTATGGATACATTTGTGAAATTAAATGGGAAACTCACTTTGGAGCATAATTTTTTTTTGTCAAATTCTAACTAGATGTCGAAAGGATAAAAACATAATGTAATTAGATGTACACAACATTGTTCATTTATTCTAGTATGCAAAAATAAAAATATATATAGACAACATTGTGAAAACTATTCCTTGAAAATTTTGTTCATTGTTAAAGATTTCCTTGTATCGTGACCTTACACGCCACATATTTTGCATGATCTTGATTTCTGTTGACCTTAAACGGTAGTCTTCTCCAGGATAATCTTTAACTATCTTTCGGTTCCACAACCTTTATTCCTCATTGCATGCAGATTTTCTTCATTGTGATGAATAACTACTAGATAATAACACCATGTAATGAAATATGAGTGATAGTATATAATAATTATAATCAGGATAATATGCATGTATAGATAACATTGCCTTTAATTCCTGAATGTTTATATTTATTGTGATTAATCCTTGAATTATACATATATACAATCATAATTGATGTTACTGTATGTATGTACAATATTCTATAAGAATAATACATAATGTTTCATGTCCATATTGAACTAGTGATTTCCTTAATTATGATGAATCTCTGATAGATACTCACACAATGTAATGACATATGGGTAATGATATACGATTAATATAATCAGAAGAATTTCATTACAAAATAAGATTTAAACAAAACCATGTCATTGTATTAAAGATTGGTTTCTATAAAAGATCAGATAAAAGAAAAATGAAAAACATTAAACATAATAATGATGTCAATTATTATAAGAACAAAGTTAACAATGCATTATTTTTCACTAATTATGACTCATATTCTTAAAGAAGAATTTAGTCATGAGAAGGGGTGATACATTTGACTCTTTTTTCATTCAGGACTTTCATCAAACAGGTAGAATGCATGTATAGTTTAAGTGAATTTGTTGAATAACAATAATTACTTTGCACATACCTTGTCAATTTTACAAAACACACTGCTTGAAAAGTGTTGAAAATCAAAGTTAACAATGCATTATTTTTCACTAATTATGACTCATATTCTTAAAGAAGAATTTAGTCATGAGAAGGGGTGATACATTTGACTCTTTTTTCATTCAGGACTTTCATCAAACAGGTAGAATACATGTATAGTTTAAGTGAATTTGTTGAATAACAATAATTACTTTGCACATACCTTGTCAATTTTACAAAACACACTGCTTGAAAAGTGTTGAAAATCAAACCTTAAAAGTGTTCAAAGTCAAACCTTGACAAATTGTAAGAATCATAAATCTGATAAATAGAAATTGAATCTAGAAAGTGCTCAAAATAGATGTAAAATAGCTAAACGATTGTGATTTGATGAAGAATTGTTGAAATTAAAGATCAACGAAGAAAAACTAACCCTCTTTGTTGAAAGTGGATGATTATGGTGCTAAAAATCGATTAGATTTTGACGGTGATATATGTGATTTGATGAAGTATGTTGTTGAAAATAACCTCTATCTGGTGATCACCCCCATATGTCGATAGATGAAAATCAACCCCCAGATGTCGATAGATGAATTTCCACCCCAATCAATCCAATTATCAATTGCAGATGTAGAAGAATGAAGAAGATGCACTCGAAAAACACAAAAATCATGAATTTAGAAGCTATGATTTAGATAGGATACAATCATTCTTCAATCAATCAATCTCAAAATCAGATGATGATATGGTTGAAATAAGTGAAGATTTAAGGAGATTGAAGATCGATTACAAGAGAAGATTAAGGAATGTTGATGACATAGGAGTGATAGTTATGGTCCCCATGTCTCACAAAATATAGGTGGTCTCAAATGAACATCTACCTACCTATATATATATATATATATATATATATATATATATATATATATAATATTAATAATGATTTAGGGCCCACATCCACCCCGTCCCCACAAATATGAATGAACATGGGTCAATTTTTAACCAAACATAATAGCATCGATTTTCATTCATCTTAAACCAAACCCAAATGCAAATATAAACCTATAGGTTTAGGTTCTCAGTTTTTGGGTTTTATTTGAACGAGGAAGGAGGCGTTTTTTTATAACTTTCGATTTGGGATGGACTCCTCAAAGTTAATTGAAAGGCAATGAGATATCCTTATGTAAGGGATGGAATTTGGGGGTGGGTTTCATCTTCTGATCGATATGGGACTACTTAAATGTGTCTAGTAAAATAAATATCCTATGAAAAAGTATGGGATCAAACTTCAGACCTCATGTTTGAGGATCAAAAGCCTTAGTCATCTAACCATGTTTCTCTTTAAGTTTCTAATGCACATAAATGATCAATATATTTTGTATACAAAATATATGTTTCTAAAGTCTTCATATAAATCGGCCTAATTCATTTTTATATTTTATCATGGTAGCTCCCCTGATGCATGAAAATACAACTTAGCACCTAAGGCCATGCACCACATGGTTTGCATCTTCAACCCTACAACTTAGCACCCCTAACATTGCAACCATGTATCTGGCACCACAACTTCACACAATCACACCTCAACATCGTTGCTTTAGAGTAACTAATCGACAAATCTTTGCCTCAGAATACTTTAAGTTTATATATAATTCAACTATATAAAAATCCATCATTTGACACTAACTTTCCACACCCGAGTATGTTTTTACAATGAATTATAACTCCAAAATTATATCGTTGATATACTCAATATTTTGGCCCACTCGTTAAATTGACCATTTTGTGTATGCCCTGCAGTAAGATTGCTTTCTTTTTATTTTTGAATTGAAAGTGTATTTGGTGGATTATCTCTTGATTAAATTCTATGCAACCCATGCATATAAGATCAAAATATTAAGCATGAAAAGAAAACTCACACAACCCATCAAATGTCCAACGATTTGTTGATTACAAAGCCATGTTGTTTTCTACCTTGTTAGAGTATCTCAATGCGAACATTTTTTAGATGCTTAATATTAATTAGGTGCATAACCTGGGCTTCGCCCTGGGACAATTTTTCTTTTTTTTCGGACCAAAAGCGACAACTCCACAAAATATTGTAAATTACGGGGACAATTTTTGTAATTAGTGTTGTGCATAGGGTTCAAACCTGCCAAACTACAATAATCTTACACATATGGACTAGTTTTGAAAAAAAAAATTACACGGATATTTTCTATAAATTAAAAAAATTCATGGATTAAATCTGTCAAATGTAAAACCTTTGTTGTAGGGACTAAATCTGTCAAAATATATAACTTTTGTTGCAGGACTAAATCTACCAAAAGGTTTGTAAGAAGTAAATATGTCAAAATACAATTTGTTGCAGGACTAAATCTACCAAAAGGTTTTGCCCTCGTATTAACTTTGGAAAGCCAAATGAATAGTAAAATTTTGATAATTGAGAATTTGGTCATACTATTTACTATTTTGAGGGGTCGGCAAGTTTAGTCCCTTGGTCGGCTTCCTGGACACGTTTCCTTTTGATGTGCCATGTTTGGTGGTTATCTAGTACACCAATGACACATTTCAATGGGCATAGAACCACTTCCTTCAAAACATGTTCTACCTTCTCCTCTCTCCTCCTAACGCAGACGACCCTGTTCAACGTCACTAAGACCCTATCGTCTCCATCTCCGCTCTCAACTGCCATTGTGAAGGAAATCTTTTCTCTGATACTAACATCGTTCTTAATCTCCTCGGGTTTCTTATTGCTTTTGAGAACTATAGTTTTGAATCACAGCAAAGAAGGTAAGCCATATGAGTTGACGACATCTCACTTCTTTTTTAAGCATCTATGTCATATCGATCTGAGAATAGAGGGGGACGAGAGCAGAGAAGCGACAATCCATCACCTGCGTATCTCAACCCTAAATTCAAGCTCTTTTCTATTGTTGCTGAAGGTCGCCTTTTCTCGATTCCAGGTTTCCTGATTGAACATCAGCTTTCTTCTATCACTATGTTTTTATATGCATGTTTTTTTCATTGTATTTTTCTAAGATGTTTTCCATAGGATTTACATAATCTAATTTTCCTTCTTCATCCTCTATTTTCCTTCTTCTATCACAATGATTGAACATCAACTTTCTTCTATCGATGATGCAGAAACATGTTTTCTCATCATCTATAGAGCGAAAGAGGTGATTGGGATTTGTTGTGCTCTTTCGGTTCGTATCATCACATGGTTTGAATTCTGATAGGTTTCTTATTCACCGATTCTACAATTTCAGATGATTTTTACAATGTTGATACGACGGCTGATTGTCGCTGGCAATTTCTTTCCTTTTTTGTATCGCATCAAATTCCTTACAAAAGTCGAAATTAACAAGGTTTTATTATAATTGAAGTTCTTTAGATTCTGGTTCACAAATAAAAATTGTTAAATATATGACTTACAATATGTTCAAAAGGTTTGTTGTTCTAAATTTTCTCTCCTCTTCCCCCCTTTTGATCGCAGAATGTTGGATTGATTTTTTCGTGTTTCAGTGAAGATGAAAAACCCTAATTTTTTGTTTGATTGTTGATTTACGTTACAGATGTCTGCCGTTGGAACCACAATACCATCACACCACCACACTTGTGGAGGATCTTCCCTTTCCAAATCCTTTTCTTTCTCTCAATCTCACCATAAGAAACCCTAATTGATTCAAACCGTTGTATATCCATTCCTCTTCAGCTCCTTTGGATTCCAACTACATCGACAACCTGATATCAGGTAATTATCAGTTTTTTGCTTTTGACGGTCTTTCATGATTTTGTTTATATTTACCGAAGTTAATTTGTGCTTAAAAATTATTTATGAAATTGGTTGGTTGTTGCGATATCAGGTAGGCAAACTATAGAGGATTTTTTGTTGCTGTCCATCCTATCTTAGCCAGGTAAAAGAGTCACTTGCTTCTTTTCCTCATGTTTCTGTTCTTGGATTGTGATTACAGAAGATTAGCTAAAGTATTTATGTTGTTGTGCATCTAAAATTTATAGATGATGTTTTCATTGTGCCTTTTTGGGGAAAAATTAACTATATTTTTTTTATCTATTGCTATAGGCTAAAACTCATGTTGAAACAGAGATCCTAACAAAGTAAGACATTATCTCACATTCCTATTATGTTTCATTTGGTTTTTGCTTTTGTGTTCACTTTTTTATAGTTATACATTATTATGTGGATTTATGAAGTTAAAGAATCTTATTTCTAGTTTTTTTGTTCATTTGAATGTGTTATATCTGAATCTGATTTCCAGTTTATGGGTTCACACTTTCTATTGTCATCACCATGATAGCATATCTATTGCAGGTACGTACTCTTGACCTGGATTTGTTTATAGTATGAGATAAAGACAATTTCTTAACCTTGAATGGTTATTATAACATTCTCTCATTGATATGAACTTTATTTGATTCATACCCTCAGTTTATTTTCAAAGGGAGGGTAGAATTGTGTATTCCTATTCCGGTCATCACTTACCACCCTTGAATTTTCTATTAATTAGTTTATTACATATTTACCCTTTACTCCTTATTTCTACCACAATATTTTGAAATTTTATGATAGACCTAAACTCGATTGCTAGATGTAAATTTGATTCTCCTTCAACTTATGTATTAGTAGACTTAAAGTCTATTTTTTTTTTGTAGGATGTGCTAAAGTCCAAGCTGGTTATAAAAAGGAAACAGATGTGGTTCAACAGATCAAGTACAAGGGCTTACGAATAGACAGTGTTATATATGGGACACTTATATTTGTTTCGCTTACAGAGGTGAAATCAGCAGGGTTAGTTCCAAACAAGGTTTGTTTCATATGCTTAATTGCCTTCAAACATTGTATTACAACTGTAAAGCTTTCCTTGGATGTTGCTTACAACTTAGAGATTGCAGGTTGTTTTGACAACATTATTGAAAGTGTATGTTAAGAGGAGGCTTATTTAACAAGTCAAGAGATTTCTAAATGAACTAGAAGCCCTTGCATATGTCGATGAAGAAGTAATACGTGATGAAAATTTTGTAAAAAGTTTGATGGGTAAAGCCCCATCTTGCCTAAATTTATGCTTCCATTTTTTTTCCATTGTAAGTGTAGTATAGCATCCTACTTTCATTAACTATTTTTTGTAATTTTCCATTTTCATACAGTTTAGTTAATAGATCATCAACAAGCCTAAGAAGCCAAGATCCAATTCAGAATAAAGGTGAACAAAGGTTGTGTTTCCATGGGTAATTGAGTCTTCCTATTTTAGTGTTATTAGTGGTTCTTTAAGTAGTCGAGAAACAATGGGTAGATTTTGGAACCTGTTAGTCTTTATATTATTAGCCTACTTGCTCATGGGCTCTTTAGTCTTTAGCCCATTAGGGTTTTGTCTGGCTAGTATTTATATCCGCTTTCTTCTTTGTAGTCTTTATGCTTTTCATTAAGAACCCTTGTATTTTATCTTTATTATAATCATATGACAATGTTATCATGGTATCAGAGCAGAGGTTTGATACGTTGTTAGAAGCCTTTGTAGCTGTAACACCCTTAAAATTCAAGCCAATTTAAAACTTTTTAGAACATTTAAAACCATTAAATTATTACAATTTGTTTTCAAAATAGTTTAATCATCAGAGTATTCCCAGAATCAAATCGTAAAATCATGAACTATGAAGAGTTGTACGATCACGCCTTTGCCTTGCCACGATCCCCTTATGCACCTGAAACAATAAACTGAAACTGTAAGCCCGAAAGCTTAGTGAGTTCCCCCAAAATACCCATACCCACAACAACACACACATAATCATAAACAACATACTATGGGTCCAATCAACCATCGGGTTGGAATACCCCAGGCCCTCAACCAACAGGTTGGAATGCCAACACACTATGGGTCCAATCAACCATTAGGTTGGAATACCCCAGGCCCTCAACCAACAGGTTGGAATGCCAACACACTATGGGTCCAATCAACCATCAGGTTGGAATACCCCAGACCCTCAATCAACAGGTTGGAATGCCAACACACTATGGGTCCAATCAACCATCAGGTTGGAATACCCAGGCCCTCAACCAACAGGTTGGAATGCCAACACACTATGAGTCCAATCATCCTCGAGATGGAATACTCACGGCCCACAACCAACAGGTTGGAATGCCCAGGTCTATTGGCTTTCGCACAAAGCAGATAAGCCTCAACCGCCAAACAAACATGTGCACGTATAACAGATAATCACATAACAGTCTATAGACAATACTTGATCTAACGGATCATACCACATAGCACATAACACCATCCCATCTACCAGGATACCGATCTAACAGATCATACCGCATATCATATAATATTATCCTACCCTCTAGGATACCGATCTAACAGATCATACTAGCATAACATAACCATATAACAATTCAAAGGGCCGATCTTGGTGCCTTAGACCCTTGAGTATAGTGAGGATAACTCACCTGACACTACTGAAGTCCCGCAGATACAACTCCAGCTATTGGTTGACAGATTCCCGAACTGTCAACATCAAACAATACCCAATTAGTAATTGGGTTCCAAGCCCAAGGTCCAACTCACACTCCAAAGGCCCAATAGTCAAATAATGGACTAAAGCCCAACATATGGCCTAATTTTCCAAATTAGGCCCAGACCTCTACATGGTCTTCCTTAAGGTCCATTTGATTATTCCAATCCAATTCCCATGGCCCATTATCACATAGTCATAAAGTCTCAATTATGGCCTAATCCTCCAAATTGGGCCCAAGTCCTCACATGGGCCTTATCCTAAAGCCCATCTACTTATTTTGGTCCATTAACTTGTTCTTGGACAACCCATCAGTAGTCCAATCACCAAAACCCACTAGGAAGGCCCAACTCAAGGCCCATGTGAAATTAGGGTTTCACATAAAATGACAATTAGGGTTAAGTGTTTCTCACTTAACCCATTAAGGACTTAATCCATTAAGTCCCTCACTTTACTAAATAAGCCATATGGTGTGATTGGGCTTAATACACAATTCCATTCCAATGGCCCAAATGTGGGTCCCGATAAGTCCAACCCCATAATCCTAAAATTAGGGTTTTCACATGAAATGGTTATTAGGGTTAAGTGTTTCTTACTTAACCCATTAAGGACTTAATCCATTAAGTCTATTCTTGCCTTAAGTTAGTTTGCCAATGATTATTATCTAATATTTCAAGTTATTAAATAATTCCCGTGTGTGTCCCGATTAATTCTCAAAATTAGGGTTTTATTGGCATTAGGGTTTTCCAACCCAAATACTAGCCCATTTATCGGTTTGTTGGGCTTTTAGGTCAATTAGGGCTTTATTGGGCCTATTAGGTACACTAAAATATCATTAAGCCCATTAGGGTTTTATTGGGTTAATTAGGGTTCATTAGGGCTTACAAGGCCCATTAGGGTTTCAAGCACCCTAAACGAATCAAACTCAACGAGGCAAGCACACCGCCACCCGACACGGAGGCCGGTGGCGGCAGCCACCACCTAACGGTGGTGGTGACGGATTTTCTTCACTATTCAAATTAATAGATAATTACAACGAAATAACCAAACTGCACACACACACACACACTAGGCTAAACACATATACACACAATGGTGGCTCATGGCGGCATCCACCACCTCACGGTGGTGGCAGTGGCTGTTCTTCGAGAATTCCGGCTAGACAACACCCAAACACCACATAACTGCAATAGACACACACACTCCTGCATTTTCTGTTGTAAAACGAACTCAGCCACCCTATAGTGGCGCACGAGGCGATATCAGGAGGCTGAGTACCGGAAGGCGGTGCCTTGCGATGACAGCCACCCCCGGTGGTGCACAGTGACGGTAGCAGGAGCACCATCGGCGACAGCAGCGACTCATACGACAGCAACGTTTCGCGATGAAAGCCACCACCTCACGGTGGTGGCGACGATTGTTTCTTGATTCACTGCCCGAAAATACTTCACCCACGCGAGAGATGACGTGATTCTGTAGCCCCCAACCACCAACTGTGGTGGCGCTACGATGACGAGACGGAGGAGCAAGGCAACGGTCTCCAACTTTGTTTGAAGGTTTGGTCTCGGCAGTCCAAAACCTCCGACAACAGCGCTGTGGCGGCGTCCTGCGACTTGCGACCTCGACGGAGGTGGTTGCGGCTTGAACAAAAAAGGGAAGTGGCACAGGAGATCGGAGGAGAGGAGGGTGGCGGCTGGATGGAGGTAGAGGGGTGACGGCTGCATCATAACCCGTTTAGGGTTAGGGTTTGAGAGGGTAGCGGGTTTTATATCCCGACTCCCTCATAACATTTTCCCATAACGACCGAAATAGCCCCTCCATCATATTTTCCCTTCAATTTAGACCCAAATGTTACCAAATGGCCCTTCCTATACAAAACCCTTTTCAAGTCAGGTCCAAAACTTACCATTTAGTCCCTGCCCCCAAGAATCTTTTCAATATAAGTCCAAATGATACCAAAACACCCCTGAGTTCTAGAATCCTTTGCAAAATAAATCCCGAGATTACACTTTTAACCTTTGGAAGTTCAAATCTTGTCATTTGGCTTCCCGAAACCAACTCCCAACTAATTATTGTTTGGTTTTGGATTATTATAATATTAAATAATAATAATAATTACTTCTCGGGGTCCTGGGTTTATCATTAATTATTCTATTTTAAACGGGATGTTACAACTCTTCCCCACTTAAATTTGATTTCGTCCTCGAAACCGTTTCTTATCATCCCTTACACGCCAGACAACTTGAGCAACACGGCCACAACTACGAGCATAACCCCAGCCTTTCCAGGCAACCGTAACCAACCCTCACCGGGTTCTAAAACCTGAAAATAAACGAATCCCTTGCAATATAATCACATTTACTCAATCCGAGTCTGTAATCTCGAGCTAGTCCGTCTCCTTGACAGATCGCCCACTCTGAATGCTTGTCAACTTCGTTGCACTTAGCTCCTAACTGGCTACTCAACTCCAGATGACCTGAGGCACTCACCAGAAAGCATAACCCCAATTCACACACTACTACCTATAACTCCTTTCTTGACAAGAGATTAGGTACTCCTTTCAAGAGAAACCCATTTGATAACCAATTCCCAAGGTTATAATGAACAATGGAATGTAAACTGGGAGATGAACCCTTTTTGGATCAACATAACAATGTTTCCTTTGGTTCCTGAATCACATACACCTAATGACCGGCTCGTAAGCTCAAACACTCATACCTGGCCCAATCAGCCTTGGGCTGGAATACCAGGCATGTCCACGACGGGTCCAGTCATCCCCAGGATGGAATACCCTCGTATCACACACATGTTTGGTCCAATCAACCCCAGGGTTGGAATACTAAACACGTCAGGCCCACTCAATCGTAGGGTCCGGTCATCCTCACGATGGAATACCCTAGATTGGAATACCACTATATTAATAACTCGGGTCTAACCCATAACTTGAAATCCAAGGACCTATCCTTGCATCTCATCCAAAAATCATCTGATTCGCCACAACCGAGTAGCACTCATCTGAAATACCGGGTTCCGGCCCGGTCGCGGAGCTAAAGGTCTCCCACATAGTTGCCTCACACGCCTTCCGAACGAAATCCTTCCCTGGAACTAATTGCCACTAGTTATCATGCCACTGCGACTCTAACAACTTTCTGATCCAACCGATCGGATCTATGCGTCAAATCCTGACGTCACCAAATCCAAGGCTAAAATTGATTGCTACCTGACCAACGGTAAACTTATATCACAAACGACCTTAAGCAATTCCTTGCTTCCTTGATCTCTCAACTGTAGTGGCGTTTCTACTGTCTTATCGCTGGCTTAACCAGGTCTAATCCCTCTGGGGAACCCATAACCAATCCGTAGATTTCTATATCCTCACTGCTACACCTGAGCTGGTGGCTACTACTGTCCCTTTCGCGTCCTAACAACGCGCTTATGCTATCTACCAACCTAGCGAATGCTGCGGCTACACCCCCAGACTTACATCACTTTAGCACTATCTGCTAACCTTGTGAATGCTACGGCTACCCCCGCAGTCTTACAACACTTCCCATACTAACTGATCGCTAGTGAATGCTACGGCTACCCCCACAGTCTTACATCGCTTCCCATACTGGTCGAACACGCACTCGACCTAACACACAACCGAACTCAATTCATGGCCAGAATCCCAACCTGATTTCCCAAAGTTCTGCTATCATGCACCAAGAAGACGCGATCCGCATGTTGGGGAGTTTTACCAAACTCCCAACTCACACAACACTTAAACCAAACAGCCACCGGGGTTGTCTTCCTTCCCGAAAACGACGCAAAACCTATCTCAGTTTCAAAACCGATCCTACTTCTGCATTCCAGGATGATTCTCCCCCACTTAGATTCAACAAAGTCTTCACAATACATGAAAATTTGAGAATTCCCAATCCTTCTCACTTTCCAACGATCGATCTGATGACCACCAACTCCT